CAGCTTATACGCATCTACTTGCTTTTCACTTCGATCGTTAAGTAACAAAGAAAAAAGTTTCTCAGTCGTCGTACAAATAGGTTTGCCGTGTCACTGGAGTCAAATAATGTGTTCTGTAGTGAAACAAAGATAGAGAGAGAGAGAGAGAGCATTAGATAACATAACCTTAAACGTGTGCTTAGGTCAGCTTTGTTATCATTGGGGCACAAATTAAAGAGTTGTTTTCAATTGTGAAGACGTTAATTTGTGCGAATGAAAAAAATGGTGAATTTACTTTTCCGGTCCTAAGTTCGGTTCCACGTTAGTCGAACGGCTATTGATTTTTATTCGCCAAAGTACTGTCAACTCCGCAAAATTGTTTAGGAAATGTTGTATGCCTCATGCTATCATTTATATGGCTCGGGGTCTTGAATTACTAGTGATACAGGCATAAAAAGACATAAAACTGGCGCCTGTAGGTAAGCAGACCATGATCACTTAAGGGGGTATTCTGGTTTAGATTTTTTTTTGCATATTATTGTAGTATAACCCTTTAAGAATATGTCCGTAAAAATATTTTTTTATATTTAAATTATTTTCGGTGCGAGCTTTAAAGTCGTTTTTCTCGGAACTACTTTTTTAGAAACGGTGTGCATGATATCTCAAGTTTGACTCAATCGGTTTATATGATATTATTTGCAGAGCTTCTTATTACATTATAATATCTCTTATTATACTACATATACATTATACTACCAGAGGATTTTTGGTTAGTTTTTTTTTATATTTTTAAAAAATTCCGAAAGGCAAAAAACAGCCATTTTGTGAAAAAATTTTTTTCCAAAATCCTCTCGTAGTGCTATAACTACATCCTTCCGCTTTAAGAATCACTCAGCAATTTTTGGTTGGGGTAGTACCACCCAGTGGTGTAGTACTGGGAGTCCTGATATCCTGCACACCAGGATACGCCATTTTTTCATCAGTCCCCAGTTTGACGGCCGGGAATTTTTGGAATTTTTTTTTAATATTATAATTGATTTGTACTTTTTAAATATCAATAAAAAACACATAAAAAAATATATGGTAAAAATAGTTCTTGGGTTTTTTATTTGGTCCGAAAAAGAGCCTAACATTCGGGCTTCTAAACCAGAATACCCCACAATACTGCTCTGAATTTTAAATTGAATAAGTCGAAGTTGCTGCTCTCTTGTATTCCGCACAAAGCTTCGCACTTCTTGGTTGCCACATCTCTCCCAAGTGTCAATGAACCGTCCAGGGTTCACAATTGTAGACGTGTAGACGCAAAAGCAATTAATATTATATAAAAATAGTTTTGCTACAATTAAAATTGTAGCTGTGATTGCTTCCGATTAAAGGTAGTTATAAAAACATATATTAAACACGTTTATTTAGAAAATACGCTAATTAAAAAGAACAGGTTGATTTCATGGATCATTAAACTGTTTAATATTTTCTGCCAACTGGTATATATTCATGCTAAAGATTAATTCAATATAATCTAATTATTTATAATATAAGCTTTCGCTAATAAAATTCTCACTTTTACCGGGTTGCAAATATACACTCAGAGATGATAGCTTGAAATATCCTTTTAATACCGGCAACTCTGTCATACCTTTTTTGCTCATCACGAAAGACATTGGTAATAATATTAGAATAAAGTTGATTAGAAGTATATAAATAGAAATATATAACGGTATATAAATATACAGATGTTGACAGCACCGAGTTCTATATATAGGTTGCTTAAGTAAATATGGGCATTTTTGCTATTGCAAAACCAAGTAATTAAAGCATTGGAGAAAAAAAAGTCTTCCTTCTTCCTTTAATAGCACAAACTTTTTTCTTTTTATTTCACTAATTAGTATTGCATATAAATGTTCACAAAGCAGTAGCTCATATATATACACATATAATATATATATATATATATAAAATATATGTATATAAAAGTTGGCTCATAAATAATAGAAATCTGAGGAACTAATTAACTTTATACTATATACACTGCATTAATATTTTAATTGTGAAAACCACTTAAGTGGTTGAAAAGCTAGTCAATGCAACGAATAATATTTATTAATAACAAATTATTTATGAATGCGTATTTTAAATACTCATGTATATATTTATATTATTGCTTAAATACAAATATGAATATATGTGTATGCATGCATTTGCACAACACAAAATTTCAAATTCAAATATTGTTTACTTAAATTGCTTAAATTCTTAATTAAATTATTACATTTTCCGCGGATTTCATTTAATTATATTATTTACACTAATAAATAACGAAATAAAAATGCCTAAGCACTTAATTTATAGATTTCACACTTCATTTTTGGCTAAGCAGATTTAAAGAAGTTCCATTGCTGTGTCATATGTGTGTGTGTATGTATAAACACACAACGCTAATTTAAGTTTGACGGAGCGTAAAAATATGTTGTATGTAGTAGTATGTATAGTACAGTATTCCACGTTTTTTCAGACATCATATACGAATATTATATATATTCAGTTAAACTTTTTATTTCAATAAAAACAAGAAAAAACATTAACTTCGGTTGCGTCGGAGCTAGAATGCTCTTTACAAATATAAAATATACCTTACAAGAACTTCATTTCGATCATTCAGTTTGTATGATAGCTATATGCTATAGTGATCTGATATCGGCGGCTCTGATCAATGAGCAGCTTGTTGGGGAGAAAAAGTTGTTTGCATAATTTCAGAGCGAAAGCTCAAAGACTGAGAGACTACAAGTAGTTCGAGTATATACAGATAGACGGACGTACGGACATACAGATGGAAATGGCAAAACCGACTCAGCTCATCATGTTCACCATTTATACTTTCCTTATGGTGTTAAAAACTTCATGGGAAAATTAATATACCCTAGTCAAGCTATATGTAAATAAATAAATAAAATTCTTTTCAATATTTAATATTTTTCATCTTCTCTATGGCTCCATGATGGGATTATATACTATATATTTGTTTTATACCGGAAGCAATATCGGTTTGTATAATATCTTACCGAAAAGATCACGAAAGTGATCGCTGTGACCATGATCGTCCATCTGAATGAAATCAAATTTGTTTATTTCAGTATTTGAAAGATAACTTTGACCATACAGACTCAAAGCCAAAAAATTTGAGGTTTTTGGCTTATTATGTAAAGTGCTATTCTACTCTAGAAATAAAAGGGAATCAAATTTTATTTTCATTTTAAAAGTTTAATTATTCAAGAATATGTTTACAAGAGTACTTTAAAAAAAAAATTAATTATTTTCAAATATATAAGTATTTTGCTGCCCCGGCATTCAAACAGGTCCGAACGGAACTGAAACTTTAAACACTTTTTTCTTTGAAACTGTCTTTTTCAAATCGATAACCACAATTTTTCAGGTTCTACTCAACCGATTTTTAAAATTTGTGAAATGTTTCGAAAGTCTTCTTTATACAGTTTTCTATATCCAGAACTATCCATATTTCTAAATTTAAAGTTTATTTTTTTTTCGAAAATTCGAAACAGTCAAAAAATGTGGTACGAAATTTTTTTTTCAGGCAGTCGCCATTTTGTAAAATAATTGTTTTCCAACTTTTTGAGATTAACAATTATTTTTCTAGATTAACAATTTTTTTTTTTGGATTTCAGATGGTAATTTTTGCAATTTTAAACATTATTTATTTTTTGACTTTTTCATTTATTCTTGTTATGTTAATAAATAACTAATAAAAAATGGACAGTAAATATATTATTTGCCCTTTTTTACGACACTTCAAAAATTACCTGCAAATCATGCTTCTAGACTAGAATACTGACTTAACTAATACTTCATTAATATCAATTTCCTCCCAGGTAGTCATATACACCTCCACTAAAGAACAATATAAAAGCTAGAAGAGACCTTATTTTATAGAACGCTTTCATATTAAACAGGAAGAAATACGGACTACAAGAGGTTATCTGGCCTAAGAAGCGCAATGCGAGTAAATTAAACTTAAGAAACACTTGCTATATGCAGACTACATACAAGAAGATTACAAGTTCTCTGCCTGTAATCACAAGCACCTAATTAATATATTCATGCTTTTTTACTGTCTCCTATATAGAAGGAGGTGAGATTCGAAAAATTCTATGCAAAGATATTACTTTATATGAGACGCCTTTTTTTCTGCACAACTTTTAATCAAATTATGGGTTTTTAGGGTAATGATAAGCTTACAACTTTGAAATTTTTAAAAGTATTTGTGCTGTGTTGCAATATTAAAGGGAATACTGTATATATACATACAGATACATACATATCAGCGGCATTGTGTTGTAAAGTAACGTGTAATTAGTATTAATAAGGGCAAGCACATATATTTCAGTTCTAATCAACCAAATGCCGCGATCTGACAACCACTTGCTACCTTTTGTGCAATCTGGCAATCCGTCAACTCCTAAGTGGCTGACTGTCGGGTTAAAGTAAACAAAAGATATTCATTTATAAAAATGACGGAATTACAAAAGTAAATAAATCAGTAGCAATGAAAATAAAGAAAATAAAATTTTCAAATTATGCAAGTAAGGTGGAGTAAAATGCGAACGACGCCGTACAAAAATTTAGAGATTTTTAATATTTTAGATTTTATGGCATATTACTTATTTTTATAAGCTTTATAACGATTTAAGCGTTTAATAAAATGTATCGTTATACTGTAGGAGGGCGTGGCTATAAGCTAATACAGTTTCTTACTCGTTTTCTAGCCGAATTTGTTCGGGTTATTCGATTTTTTAATTAAAAAAGAAATGAGTTGTTCATAATTTGTAAAAAGTAGGCGCGGTTTTCATTTGATTTGGGTTACTTTCAGTTGAAGGAATTCTGTAGCAAGTTTGGTGTAGATTTTTGAAGTAGTTTGCAACACTCACATATTTTCCATAAAATTTTTAGCCCTCTTTTAGAAAAATTTACGTAGTTTTATCTGTTTTTTTTATTTTCTTTCCTTCTAGCCACATTGTTTGATATAAATAACATTCAAGTCGAATAAGGATTACCCAATAATGAAAAAGGAGATTTTATGAAGATGATATGTTCGATCAGTTTGTATGGAAATTTCTGCGGTTATTGTACTGTTGCTTTAAGTAGTAATTCGTGCTAAATTTCGTGGAGATATCTTGTCAAATAAAAATTTTTTTCATACAAGGACTTGGTTTTGAGCGATCAGTTTGTATGGCAGCTATATCCTACAGTGGTCCAATATCCGCAATACCGACAATTGAGCAGCTTAATGAAGAGAAAAGGGCGTGTGCAAAATTTCAAAGCGATATCTCAAAAGCTTAAGAACCAGTTCGCATATAGAGAATCCGGTTATTCGACTTATCTTTAAATACCATATATATCATAACTCTAAAAATCACCACAACAAAGTTATAATACCCTGAACAACATTTCGGAATATTGCTGTGGCATCACTATGTTAAAGCGCTAAGCGTTGTAACCAAGAAATACCACTGGTGGTGGCAAGTTGCACAAACACTTGCGAAGTCATTTCCCCACGGATTGATGCACGAGCAGATAGCGACTAAAAAAATATATGTGAGTATATGTATATATAGCAGTGGAAGCGTGCTTTGAAACACTCTGAAATGCGATCAAACTTCATTGGGCTCCGAGCATTTTAGCCGAAAATTATAGCTTCTGCATTTACGTACAAATATATATGTGCGCCTGCGCATGGCATTGCAACTGACAGCGCGCATACATACACCTGTGTGTGTGTGTGTTTCGCTGGAGAGCCGTCCATCATATACCCTTCAGTCCATTTAACACGTTTCTGACACTAATCCTGTCTTGATGAAACTAATTTTTTTATGCGCTCACCGTACGTCATGCGGCCATGATTTATTTCCACGCCGCTTTCGCTGACGCAGAAGCAGAAGCAGAAAAATTATGCGCACATAAAAATAAATATAAATAGAAATATATGTATGTATACACAAGGGTGCCACAGTGATCACTGTCCAAATGCGCAATGCGTAACTTAGACAAACCAATGCATTTGTGATTTTGCTGTTGTTGCTGTTGCCGATTTTAGCCTTTGCATATCCTCGTTGAACAACAGACGACATGTAGCAACAACAAGTGGAGCAACCAAATCGCCAAAGATCACTTTGGACACCACATGGACTTCTGCTTGAGTGCGCAACGCAATGTAGCGGCTATTTTTCGTAGTCATCACCAGTCATGTCAGTCGCTGAGTCGGAGGCAGTCAGTGCCAGTGCCACTGTCAAAGCTGTTCAGAAGTATTGCTGTTGTTTTTGCTATTTTTATTTGCCATCATAATACGCTTTGGCCTTTCGGTTTTACTCTTGGTTCGTCAGTCGACTCATCGTTATATTTGTTTTTGTTATTGTATGTTTTTCTTTACCATTATTCGATCATTGTCGACTTGTGTTGGCCGTTGGCCTCTGACTTGCAGTTATTTTGCCTGATCTGTCATCTCGTATGCTTTTGGCGTTATCTTTGCATCTGATCTTGCCACCGACTGTGTACCAGGTTTGATTGCCGTTGCGGCAACAAGTGCACGTGCCGGTTTGCTTGTGGTACTTTCTGGCACTTTAATATCAGCTATTTTCATTTGCGATGTTGCTGATACTACTCGGAGGAAAGGATGTGTGGAAAATGTTAAAAATATAGATATGAGCTGATAGCGTAGATCAGCTGTGACAATGCGACGTATGCATGGAATTAATAGCAAATCGGTGGTTGGTTTCAAATGGTCAGAATATAATTTTGAGACGAGAATACAAAATTGAGAAATTCTTAGAAACAATTTTCTAGGCTGCTTGCTTTGATCTCGTAATGAATCTTCAAGAGCAAAGTTAAGTTTAAACAAAGAAATTAAAGTTTTCATCATATTTTTCTACATTTTTGAAGCGCAATGCTTCGTGATCGTACCATAACCAAAACAAAGATTTTTAATCGTTCTAAGACACCGTTTGTTTCAATGAAGGTATCTACAAGTTATAAGCCTCCGAAAGGCTGACCGATTTTATACAAAACCAGAAAAAAACTCATTTCATTAAAGGTACCTTATTACTACCTGATCTCTCCCTCTATCTTTTGATAGCATCTAAGTGCTTTGGCTTCGGTTATATGTAGGGTCTTAACTCTTATAAACAAGTGGTTTCAACATTCGCTATCTAAACAAAACAAAGTATAATGTTAATTTATAAATTTTTACCAATTTATTTATATTTTCTGAAAATATTATTGCAATAAACTTTTTGTTAAAAAGATAGAAGATTGTCAATCGATAGCTTGATAAGGACAATGGCCATCATAAGCTAATTTTTCTATGCAAATATAGCTGAAAACAGCCTTTTCCATCAATGCATATGCTACTTTTATATATTTTATAGTGAGTGCTTGGATGACTTTCAGTTTCAGCAAGATGCCACTGAGCTCTCACCACATTTGATTTCATGTATTTGATGTTTTTCGGTGGTTTGGTAACACAATTGGTCTCTAGAGCTGTATTCTGATGTTATTACAAGGTACAATTCAAAAGTTTCAGGACTTTTATTAAAAAACGAATATTATTTGTTTTTTTTTATTTATTGGTCGCCTTCAAAGTAGTCTCCTTCCGCCTGAATACAACGTTTTGCACGTTCAAGAAGGTTATCGAATGACTTTTTTAGGTCATTTGTCGGTATAGCGATTTGAGGGATAACAATTACAGGCAGATGGTGCCACTAGAAGCCGCGTTGTTTAAAAAGTTCTGGAACTTTTGAATTGTACCTTTTACACTTGATTTTTTAGTTGTCGTGGAGGCTTATGCTATCTGTCAGATATACTAGGAAATTAGTTGAAACCTGAATTCGAATTTTTGATCTATTTTAATTAATACAATAATATTTGTTCTTTCTATTCAAGGGGGATCAACTAGCATGATTTGGGTGACATGATTATATATAATCTACTAAAATTCTAAATCGAGATCTCAAATAGTTTTTGAGTGACAGCCTTCTAAAGTGTAGCCGCTCAGTTCAAGCAGCTTTCAGTTCAGTTTACTTTTAAACGCGTTTTTCTCAAAATCAAAAATTCCAAATTTGCTTGTGTGATTACTCAGAGTTATGTAAATAGTTTTATTAAATGGTCCAATCGCTATTAAATCATATTCTGCATGTTCTGTTACAGTTCTTCATAGGATGACCTACCAGTTTTTTGATCTGATCAAAAATCAAATTTTGGCATGCTGAAAACGATTAAAATTTTGGGTTAAATTAAGATTTTTTTAAAACGCTTATCGACCGTAAGTCCATACAACGACAATGTTTTCTTGTCGAAAATTTTGTTTTAGGTTTCATCCAAGGAGAAGGACGGAATTAATGCAGCAGTGGAGGATTTTTGCTATTGGCGCCAACGAAGATCGTGTGTAACTCGAAAAATATTTAATTTTTATCTTCAAAAATTTTACAATATATTCTCAAAATTTGTCTATTTATACCCTTAACATTTTAAAACAAATGATAGATGATGATAGATTTTTTTTTTAAGTAGTCCAATTTAAAGCATTTAAAAGTTGATATCGGTATATGTTGTAAATAATATTCCCACGATTGAGTTAAAGTGTTTCAAACTTAAGGAACTTGTTGTTTCTGCATATTAAAATAAGATTAACAAGCCACTGTTCAAACATGTGGCGGTCGGCTGGAATAGCAAAATATTTGCAGTATTCTAGCTTAGAACAAGTAGAGAGCCTTAGCCACTTCTCAGCAGAACGAACAAAGAAAAAATCCATATTGTTTACTTATAAATAATTATATTTAATTGAATATATTTCCTGAAACTACTGTTGCGACCAGCTATAACACTAATGAAATAAATACTTTTATTATTCTACAATTAAGTAATTACTCGAGAAAAAATCAGTCTTCACTATAATTAATATATCATATATGCTTTAAGTCAGCGACATATCCAATTATAATTGAGAATAAATTGCGAAAATATTAGTTGATGGATCAGTGCACATTTGCAAATTACATATATATACTTAATTATATATGTACATACAAATGGTACATATATATGTATATGTGTATTAAAATAATTTGCTAACGCTAATAACGTTAACGTCTACCAGCTTACTTAGCTTCTATATATTTCTATATATTTAGATATGTGTACATATATATATATATATATACATTAGGGTGGGTAAAAAAAACCTTTTAATTTTTTTTCCTCAGTTACCATGAAAACATCGTCCAAATTAATTAAAACAAGTAAGGAAGGGCTCAATTTGGATGTAACCAAACATTTCATACTTTTTTGTATATTCATACCTTGAACAGGGTTTATTCAGTGTGCCACGATGTTTGTAACAACCAAAAGGAAACGTCGGTAATATATAAACTATATATATGTATTATATATAAATGACAGCTGATTCCATTTAGCCATGCCTTTTTTTATTATTTTACATTTTATTTTATTTATTTTTTTTTTTTTGTTATTTTTATTCCATAAAATCATAGAAAATTTGTTTTTATTTAGCATTATTAAAGACTATGTTATAAAATTAATGACTTTTCTTACTGATTTTATATGAGAAAAAAAATATTTTTTCTTGGCCTAATACCATATATACATATATTTACGAGTATACATGTACATATGCATACGATTCAACTATTTTTGCTTGATTGCCAGCAATATTTCTGCTTCACCTGAACCACCTTGAATATTTGCTTTTAAAAATAGAAAAGAACAACAACATATTAATAATTATGAAATAAATATTTTATACAAATTAATTGGTTGCCTATTTGGTTTTACGGCTTTAAATTTACTTATTACTATTCATTTGCATTGTGTATCCACATAAAATCATCATTTGAGCAAATATAAATTTATTAGTAATATTTCAAATGTTTCTTATGAAGATATGTATGTATATAAGCGCATGTATATATATATATATATATATAAAGTTTGGTATTAAAAAGCCAATAATTGGATTTGCGTACATATGTATGTGTATATACATATATCTAATACTTCAATCGCCATTTACGGAAACATAATAACTTGCATTTGCTGTTGTTTTTTGCAACTTTTTTATGGCATTCGTATAAAATAAATCAGTGAATTCAATTGATTTGCATTAACTTATGCAGATATGTCGATATTGTGCTCGTACATTAGTATAATCGCTGCCAAGCATCTCTTTATTATTGACAGACGTTAAATCAATATTTTAATTAGGTGACAACAGTAATTCTAATCTATGAATTTAATCGAAAATGCTCATACATACACATGTACAGGAAAGTATATGAAAGAAATTGCAAAATTTCAATAGTTTTATAGGCAAATATAAATAAATTGATATTTTTTTTTAAGGAGATATGTTTTAATTGAGTTGGAAAAATATGAGAATGTGTTATTTTCCTGGTAATTTGAATAATAATTTAATATTATATAAGTAAATAGTAATAATAATAGTTAAGTGAGATCTACTATGGATTAGTCAGATTCTTCCTTTAAATTGCATTTAAAACTATATTATTTGTATATACTCATTCTGAGTTAAAAAAGCGAATATTAGGTCAGTACATATGTAAATACAATGCTATCTTTATGTAATTTAGCTGATATAATTCCATAAAATATACAGACTTTTGTAAATACCTCTACCTTATATTCTCTTTATCGCAAATTTTTCAGATTTTTTTTCAATTTTTTTTATATACATACATATATCGAATGTAAATATTGAGAATATTTTTTCAGAAAATTTTGCGTTGATATGGCAAATAGTTTCGGAGACATGAGAACATTTGTAACTTTTTATTTTTAATTTGTAACTTAGTGTAATCAGCTCACAAAACTTCTCGAATTGCTTTTTTCCGAATTGGTAAGGTAATTTTTCCTAAAATTGATCGACTTGAAATTTTCACACCGTCTTCTTAAATATATTTGTCATTTAATGATCGGAGAAATGAGATTTTTGATAATAATTTCGATTTTATACTATGAAGTGTAAATTTTTTTCGCTAAAAACGATTTTTTTTGGAAATACGCCATTTGGTCAAAAACCAAAATTTTGACTCGTCATTCGTTTATTATTTGGTAGCTGGCTTGTATGTTTGAGATAATTTTAAGCAGATTAATCTTGCTCACCGCGAAACGCCTTTTTCGTCAGTTTTCCTTAGAGATCGGCTTCGGGATGAGGCACATCCAAAATTGTTCAAAATAAATCGGTGATTATTATGAGGTTACATGGGTTTCGTCGAGCAAAAAACGCCTTAATTTCAATCCTATTTTTTTTTCATATAAAAATGAAATATTTCATTCAAACATTTTATTATTCCGTAGATACAGATTTGATAAAAAGTTTTGTGATTTTTTCAAAGGAAAATATTCAAAATTCGGTCATTACGACATCATTTCCGACAGGCGCTCGGAAAAAATGTGCAGAAGTAAAAAGAAAAAAAAAACGTGTTTGAATTAAAACCATTAACTAGGTATTGGACCGAGAAAAAAGAAATAAAGTGAAAATTGTAGTTTTGGCAGACGTTTAAAATAAATGCGAATTTTGGAGAAAATTTCTCGACGTTTTTTGTTTTTTTAAATAGTGTTAATTGAACAAAAAAATAAAATTCTTGTCAATTGTATCTTAAAGACCTGTGTATAATTTCATTAAGATCGGTTGAGTAGCTCCCGAGAAATCTTGGCAACCAACTTTGAAAACACAGTTTCGAGAAAAGCGCGTTTAAAGTTTTAAGTGACTATATTCCTGACCACGAGCGCGCCACTTTTTAAAGCTGTATCTCCAAAACTATTACTGGTATCAACTTGAGAATTTAGGACAATATTCTATAAACTGTATAGAATTAAATAAGACAATAAGTTTGTAACACCCAAAAGGAAACGTTGGAGCCTCTATAAAGTGTATATATTTTAAAAATGATTAGCGTGACGAGCTGAGTCGATTTAGCCATGTCCATCTGCCTATTCGTTTGTCCCTTAGTTTTTAAGTTATCGATCTGAAATCTTGCACCCGTCCTTTTGTCATAGAGGCAGCTCATTTGTCGCATCATTATAGCATATAGCTGTTATACAAACTGAACGATCAGATAAAGTGCTTGTATAGAAAACTACTTCATTTACTGAGATATTTCCAGAAATTTGACACGGGGTATTGCCTAAGGCAATGATGTAATCTCCGAAGAAATTGTTCAAGACAACGAATCACTATAGCATATAGCTGCCATACAAACTGACCGGTCAAAGTTCTTATAAAAAATCATTTGTATCTGTGAAGAGTATTAAAGCTTTGCTGCAACCAAAGTTGACGTTTCTTCTTGTTTTTATTTATTTATTAAATAAAATGTATCTAAAAAAAAAAATCATAAAATACGCATTTTTTACTTGCAAGTGGATACAGCCCCTTAAGACAATTAATTTCGAGTCGTATTCGCCTGATCTTACTCCGTGTAATTTCTGACTATTCAACAAACTTAAAAGGCCAATGCGGAAATGCCGTTATGACACGATTGAGAAGATAACAATAAGGTCTGAAGGCTATACCGGAAAAAGACCCTTCCGACTGTTGGCAAAAGTGCGTTTTATCGAGCGCGGTTTACTTTGAAGGGCATGATTTGAAAGAATAATTAAAGAATATACATTTTATAAACAAATTCATCTTAGATTTTGAAGACTGTAGTATGTAAGGTCTGTAAGAAGTGTATGGAATTCTACTAGTATTTTTCAAGGTTCTTGTTTCTACGCAGAAATATACAATTTTGGAGACGATCTTAACGACTAAAAAATATACATAATTTTCATTGATGCTTTGATATAATTGAACTCTTTTATTTACTTCTTAATGCAATTTACAGCTAAATTAAAGAGATATCACTCAACATCAGAGTAAGCATGCTCAAGCTTTTCTTAGTATACCTTATTAAGCGCTAGACAACATTCCGCACTCCTAATTGCTATTGAGACCAGCTCAGTTGAACCAAATTAATAATGCAAAAAGTTAAAAAAAAAAAAAAATTGAAAATTTGTAACTAAATCAGACAGTCATTACTAATGTATGTACTTAGGTATTTATGTCTACAAAGTTGACTTTCGTCACGCTAACTTATGACAGGCGACCAACAGCGCACCGAACTACGAAGAAAATAGACAAAAAAAAAAAAGAAAAGAAAACACATACGTATAAAATTCGACTTAAAGAAATTTTGTGGTCAAAACTGCTGTGCTGTAATGTGATTCGAAAAGCTACATATTCATGCATACATGTTTACGTGTGTGTATGTGTTGTCATGTTATATCCATGACAGTCTAAGCGTAGCCAAGCTAACACTAAAACGCCCTAGAATACACCGCCCTTGTCACTTGTTCTTATTGTTGCTGCAACGTCTGCTTTCTGGTCTTCAAATGGACGGTGTTGGT